CCAAAGTCCCCCATTCGAACAGTCAGAGCACAGGGATGTACCTCTAGCCACTGCTTTCAGTTGGCCAGAAGGGATTCTATATTACTCCTTAGAACGATCTTGGTTCGCCTGAAGTTGTTGGAAGTCCCTCTCTCCGAGCATAAAGATAAGAGACAGAACGTGGTTGCCTAATTTAAAAGGAGCGATTATGGAGACATCTGGGTGTGTTGTTACCATGAACCAGTCACATTTGGATATGCTCTTTTGTCATTAAGAACCATCTACACTCAAGAGTTAGGTTGACGTTGTCACATCCTGACAAAATCTTAGTGTCGATGCAGCGATGTCATCGAAGAATGCTTTCATTGATGTAGCTACTATTGCTTGAGGTAGAGGTATTCCTACAGGAATGGGAAGACCTCTTCCATTGGCACGAGCTGCCTCTACACTACAGAATTATGCCAGCTATAGCTATGTGGCCATATGGTCTCTGTATAAGGTACATCTTTGCTACAATCACACACAGTTCAAGCCCCTGCAGTGTAATAGTACAGGCTCTTCTAGGACCACACCCCAGAAGTGCCCAAAGTTTGCACCAAAATCAAACAACAAAAAATCTTTCAGTCTAACCAAGAACAGAAACTGTGGAAGGTTAGTTTCTTCCCTCCCAGAATGTTAGTGCCCTGATCATAAGGTCACTGACAAATCACAAGGGCTTGCTGGGATGCACTCTGCATTTCCCAGCACAGAAAGGTGGCAGCATGTCTACTATGTCACATGGTGGTGGGCACTTCCAATTTCTGGAGACTCCTTAGCTGGTGAACCAGGCAGTTTTAACACTGTCCAAGATTCCCACCACCCAGTGAACCCATCCTTAGAGTCATACTGTTGAAGAAATATAGGAGAACCAGATAAAGCTAATGAGGAAAGGTTTAAGGGTACAAGAATGAATGTGGAGCATCTTGGGAGCTCACCGATTAGTGACAGAACTGTTCAGTTTCCTTATCTAGCTTGGATATTTTTGGGATACAAGAACTCCCAGGCTGGGTACGATTTAATTACACTGGAGCAGATGTGCATGTACAGAAGGGGAAGTGGTCTAGTCAGTTCAAGAATTACAAAAAGAGAAACCCAGACAGGTTGGAGGTCATGGATAAGCCAACCTTAGGGATGCAGCCTGCCAGAGGACCTCTTCGCCTCCTGCAAGGCAGAGCCCTGAGTCATATTGCTATACACGATAGGGAGTGATGAGGGCAACACTTGCAAGCAGGCTTTTGTAGAAGGGGAAGCAAGTGGTTGCTGTGGCTGAAGTTACTCACAAGGGGCCTCTCCAGATGATTAAGGCAGGGAGTGACTGGCAGTAGAGGGAGAAGACTTCTTTCAGAACTAGCCTACTAGGAAGATGCCAAGATGGCCACTGGCAGTGGGGTGCGGGTGGAGAAGCTATTTTAGGTTTCATCTGGAGTATCATTGACAGTTCAGTCTCCAAGCTAACTCTTAGATTTATAATTTGGAGATACACCTCTTTGGAGGCATGATTGGGGGGAAAAAGTGACCCATTTGAGTCAAATTGCTGACTTGGACATCTCCAAGGAAACCAGAGCTCAGACTAAGCCTGATGAAGTTAAGATGAAAGCAGAACCTCTTTTAATGAGTTGAGATGGAGTAAGGAGAGATGTGGGTTATGTATCAAACTGCTTGTTCATTAGGAGCATCAAAGTACGTAACTAGCTAGCAACAGAAGGAAAACCACAACTGCTACTGCTAAAGCAGCAGGTCTCTGGCAACCAAGAATAAGACTCTCAAAATGAGCGTTGACAAGTTGAACAAGAAAATTACACAGTGGGGCTGGAAGCCCAGAGAGAATCCTAGTCTGTTTTTATTCTGCACTTTGTTGGGGAGGTGGGGGGCATGGAATTGTGTTTTTCAAACAGGTAATTCATACAGAAATAATGTGATTTGTCAGTAGGGGTTTGTGAATTAGAAGCCTAGTACAGTTTACCCTCACACCCCAGCACCACTTTCATCTTTTAGCTCACAAACAATTCAAGCATGAGTTTGATACACCCAGGTCAGCTGGGAGCCACAGTGACATGAGATATAAAAGCATTGAGAGGGGGGAGAAAAAAAAAGCCATGTTTCTACAGGGTCCTAAAGGCCTTGATTATTCAGTCTTCTCCAAGAAAGCCAATGGGTAGCCAGCCTAATCTTCTGCTTTAAAAGAGGTGCTTACCACCAGCTTGCAAGTCAGGTATTTGAATCATGGTGTACTACATCTACAGCTCCAAAGATGTTACTAGGTGGAGAAGGAGTACTTGTGGCACGTTATAGACTAACAAATTTGTTTGAGCATAAGCTTTCGTGGGCTAAAACCCACTTCATCGGATGCATGGAGTGGAAAATACAGTAGAAAGATATATAGTTCCATACCACCCATTCACAGATCATTATCAAGAACTGAAGGACAGTGTCACCTAGTTTGTTTTAAGTGTCACCATTTAGCAAGTTGTAATTCTATACTAAAGGCCTTGTCAATGCAAGAGTTGCACCCACTTTCTAATTCCATTTAGGAACTGTTTTTAGATTGGAGTGGCCCCCTTGTGGTGGCACCTCTTGTTTCAGATTAAGAGTCCCCTGTATGAATTTAGCTGGGTCATCATGAGCTAAATCAAGGCAGTTCCTTACTGATTAGTTAACAATCTAGGACAATCTTAGAGCCAAAGTAAGAAGTGTAAACACAAGGGGGTTGTTCCAGTCTAACCTTGCCAGTTTCATCTGTAGAGCTCTTGGGTCTCAGCTCAATTCTTCTGGAGGGCAGGTGAACAAATGGTTTAGACCAGGGATTCCCAAATTGGGGGCCGGGGGGTGGGTGTCAAAAGGTTATGACCAGGGTCACAAGCTGTCAGCCTCCACCCCAAACCCCATTTCACCTTCAGCATTTAGAATAGTGTTTATATATATATATGTGTTTTTAATTGATAAGGGGGGGTCCACACTCAGAGGCTTGCTTTGTGAAACAGATCACCACTACAAAAATTTGAGCACCACTGGCTTAGACATTGCAGGCACTCTCTACCCCTGCCTTCTCAGAAACGCCATGGGCCCAGTTGTCCACCACCTTGCACCGAGTGCAGTTGCTCACACTTGTGCAAGCAAATGCTGCTATTCTGACCCACAAGGATTTTACACCCACTTTGCACGACTTTCAGCCTGTGGTCCATGGACCAATGGGGATCTGCAGACTAGGCCTAAAATTTCCAAAGGGATCCACACCCCCACATGAATTTTTTTAATTTTTTTTTTTAAAAGGGTCCACAAATAAAAAAGGTTGCAAACCAGTGCTCTAGTGTATGTGACTCCAGAAGCTAGTTGAGGCTCCAGCCCCCCAACCAAGTATGTGAACATAATTTTTAACAAAGAGACAAGCTATTCTAGATTCCCCCTCCCCAATTCAAATTCCATAGCTATTGACATTTAGATTAATATTTGTCTTGATGCTAGAACTAGGCAAGGAAAAAAATCAACACCCCTCCTCAAACCCATCTCCCCCGCCCCCCAGTCAGTTCTCCTTGCAAAATAAAGTTTGTCCTTCCCTTTATCTCACCCATTTGAATTTAGTTTGCAATTTCATAAACAGAATTAGCTTTGAAGAAAGCCCGATGCACATAAAACATATTGCAGTATTTAAGTAATTTACACATGTAACAAAAATCTAGGCACATTGTTACCAATACGAGCCCAATTATCCCCTCTTCCCTTTGCCTTTTGGGGACATATTGAATACCTACTAGTAGGTAAATTCGAATTTGGCAGAGAAGACAGCTGTCAAACAACAAATGTTGCATAACCACCTATTTTATTACCCTATGTGTTTATAGCTTTGACAGTTTTTAAAAATTGACAGCTTCACCAGTCTTCAGGGTTGTTTTTTTTTTGGGGGGGGGGGGGGGGGGGGAGATAAAAAGGGAAGAAATGTAGAAGAAACTGTACTGCTCATCTTGTGTGTTATCATGTGAATGCCAATGTCCTAGGGAAAATGAAATCAATTCCCCTGTGACTGAAGGATTTCAGTGGGTTGGAGATTCCTTTGTGAGGGTGTTAAACAGCTGAGAGCTGCAGAGTAAGGCAATCTCAACGATAATAATACAGCTAGCCGGAAAGTATTGCCAGATTAGTTTGTGACTTGCTTCATCAGAGTCCATGCAGAGGGGGAGCCGTTCATCAGAGGCCGGGCTAAGGATAAATATCGTGGGGAATTTGAGGGGGGGATGGATTAGACACACACAAATAAGCTCTGGAGGGAGAGACACGAAAGCCAAGTGACAACCAACAACAAAAGCCACCCAAATGGCCTCGCAGATGTCCCAGTAAATAGTGGCCCATTGTGTTAGGGGCTGAGCAGCGACTCTAGCCCTGAGCCTCGGGTTTGGGGGGTGAGCGCGGGGTCCCTGGAACCTCAGCACAACAAGGGGCAGAAGAATAAACCTGCTAATAATAAAAAAAAGAGGGGGGGGGTGAGAGAGAGGGGAAGACGCAGCAACAATAGCAAAAGAGGCTCTAGCTGGTGACGTAATGGTTGGCGACCGTCCAGCCCCTGCTATCACCACTTTATCTAGTCCCCCTTAAAACCTCCCCCACACCACAACACACAACACAACACAGCCCAGTGGAGCAACGCGGAGGTTATTTGTCTTCCCAAGTGACACTGTGTGCGTATGGGGGGGGGGGGCAAGGAAATCGAGGCAAATCCCCGCAGCCTCCCCAGCCCCAAGTTTGCAGAATTTGGTAAACACCCCCCCCCCCAAACAACAAAACAACACCACAGCCCAGTGGAGCAACGCGGAGGTTATTGGTCTTCCCAAGTGACACTGTGGGGGGCGTGTGTGTCTCTCTCTCTCTGTGGGCAAGAGAATCAGGGCAAATCCCCGCAGCCTCTCCCCAAATGTGCAGAATTTGGTGTGTGCCCCCCCCCACACACACACACAGCGCCGCGAGCGGGACCCCCCCAGCCCCGCACCTACCTCGGCGAAGTAGAGGTGGAGGAGGCAGAGGCTGGCGAAGAGCAGGCAGCCCGGCGAGCAGTGGAGCAGCCAGCGGGCGAAGGGCGGGCGCGGCAGCGGGGCGGCCGGCGGGGCGCCCGGCAGGGAGCCGGCGAAGAGCACGGTGCGCAGCGCCGCCCACAGCAGGCAGAGGAAGAGGCAGAGCGTGCGGTAGCTCAGCCGCTTCTCCCCGGCGCAGAGGAGCAGCCAGAGCTGCAGGTAGGCGAAGAGGAAGAGGGAGCCGTACAGGGCGGTGTGCAGCACCGTCAGCCCCAGCGCCACCGGGTAGGGGACGGCGGGCATCGCCCCGGCGGGGGGGGCAGAGACGGTCCCGCTCATGGGGCGGGGGAGCGGCGACGGGATAAAAGGGGGGGGGGGCGGGTGGGGGGTGTAAAACCCGGGGGCGGGGAAAGCCCCCCCCTCACAGCAGCGGCTAAAAACCCATGCAACAAAAGAGCCCGCGCCCGCCCGCCCGGCTGCAGCGCTCCCTCGCTTCGAAAACAACTCTCGGCTGGAGCCGATCAGCTGAGCCAGATTATTTGAGGCGCTCGCTCCGGACGGCGGACTTTTCTCATTGGCTCCCGCCGGGCCCGCCCGCGCCGCTCCCTTCCGCCCTTGCCGGTGGCGGCTGGGCCTGCCAGTCAGAGCCGGCCCGCCCTCCGCGGGCTCTCCGGGCTCCGTTTTGTTCTTGGGTTGCCGCCGCCGCCCGACTCGGTTTCCGACCTCCCTCACTTTGTTCGCCTCTCGCCGCCAGGCTTGTTCTCCCGGCTCAGCGAGCCGCCGCTGTGCGGTGCGCCCTCCCGAGCCGCAGCCGCGCGCTGCCTGGGACTGGGATCAGCTGCGCGGAGACAGGCCTGTGCGGGCGGGCGGGTCTGTGCGGGGGACAGGAGCGGCTCAAGGTCTGCGGGGAGGCAGCGCAGAGATCCCCATTGCGATAGCGGACCCCACAGATCCCCATTATTATAGAGGGTTTGCTGGTGAGATCGCTATAGGGAAGCTCAGCGATCCCCACAGCTGTAGGGGTAGCTCAGAGATCCCCACTGCTATAGGGAAGCTCAGAGATCCCCACTGCTATAGGGGAAGCTCAGAGATCCCCACTGCTATAGGGGAAGCTCAGAGATCCCCACTGCTATAGGGGTAGCTCAGAAATCTCCACTGCTATAGGGAAGCTCAGAGATCCCCACTGCTATAGGGGAAGCTCAGAGATCCCCACTGCTATAGGGGAAGCTCAGAGATCCCCATTGCTATAGGGGAAGCTCAGAGATCCCCACTGCTATAGGGGTAGCTCAGAAATCTCCACTGCTATAGGGAAGCTCAGAGATCCCCACTGCTATAGGGGAAGCTCAGAGATCCCCACTGCTATAGGGAAGCTCAGAGATCCCCACTGCTATAGGGGAAGCTCAGAGATCCCCACTGCTATAGGGGAAGCTCAGAGATCCCCACTGCTATAGGGGTAGCTCAGAGATCCCCACTGCTATAGGGAAGCTCAGAAATCCCCACTGCTATAGGGGAAGCTCAGAGATCCCCATTGCTATAGGGGTAGCTCAGAGATCCCCATTGCTATAGGGGTAGCTCAGAGATCCCCACTGCTATAGGTAATACCTAGATCTCCAGCACAGTAAGGTTTAGCTTGGCCTGGGTCTTTCAGCCCTAACTGTGGAGCAGCACCTGTGTCCTCCTGCTATCAAGGGTGAGCCCTGTTACCTGCCCGCTGGAGGCATCCAGTGCCACCACTCTCGGCAAGAAAGGCCCAGAGACACACAGGAGCGGAGGTAACGCGGGGCTGATGTGATCCCATCCCACCAGTGCCAGAGGAGGGATGGATGGAGAACTTCACGCCACTGTCCTCGGGGCAAAAAATGGTGTCTGAAACACACAGTAGCGCCTGCCAGGTGAGTGAGGCCCCGAAGCCATCCTGGGGCATGCTCCATTTGATCTATTCACAGTGCAGGGCTTTCCACAGACTCCAGTGGGAGGGTCCCTAAGGCCAGGCCGGACAAGCAGACAGAGGGCAGGAGGCAATGTGTAGACAAGCCAGCTTCAGTCCCTGACCAGGAGCAGAAATTGTTTCCATCCAAAAACATGCATCAGTGAACAGGGGCTTTGCACTTGACTGTAACCAGATGGGACAACATTGGCTCCTGCAGCCTTTGCAACCCAAACCATGCTGCAGGGAGCTGACTTGAGAAGTGAGAACCAGAAAGTGAAAGTGAAACCTAAGTGAAAGTGTCCTGAGGGATATTTCCTTTGTCCCAGCTGCCAGGGAGATGCAAACAGCACTGGGGGTGAGAAGTAAATTAGCTTTTAAACAATTCTAGTCATTTAAAGTGGGACTGGTAACAGAGGAGAGGGTATAGGATACCCCCTAGAGATTCCCCTACACAAAGGGACAAGTTCAGCTGGCTTTAGGGCTTATGTGCACCCTGGAAATGATCAAAGCAGCTGGAGTGCTTGTGTATCTTCTAGTTCCCTGTGTGTGTATTTTTGCTTTTCCATTGATTTAAAACCAGTAAGAGGTTAAACAGGAAATGGCATGGGACACACAGATTCCTGGAAAGAGTTGATGTAGAACCCTAGTGTAAATGTCTAACATTAATAATAATAATATTTTGTAGCTCTTATAGAGTGCTTTATGGGCCTGATTCTCCAGCTCCTTAGGTGTAAAGCACATCCATGCAAAGTGTCAGCCTTCTGATTGGGTAGCATTTCACACCCATTCCTACGGAGCTGTATATTCAAAGGGCTGTATACGCATAATCTCACAACTCCCCCGTGAAGGAGACAAATGAGTATTTTACAAATGGGGAAACTGAGACAGTGAAATGAAAGGACATGTGTAAGGCTGTGCAGGGGGTCAGTGGCAGATCCAAGATTAAAACTTGGAGCTTCCTCACTCTCACTCAATGCTCTTTCCACTAAACCCTGCAATGTTGGGACACAACCAGTTAACTGAGTGATGCAAACAAACTGGCAAGGACTTTGGTATATTTGTATTTATATTTAACAAAGAGAAACAATTCTTCACCAGCTCTTAACTGCATAAATCTCACAAAAGTGGCTGAAGTCTTTCCTCCTTTAACTCCTCCTCCCTGTTGATGAGTCCCTCCCCCATCCTCTGAGAATGGGCAGCTCTTTGGGGCTTGGTTTTTGGATCTGAACTGGGAGGTGCCTAGCTCAGTGGTGGGAGCTCAGTCAGAGTGAGTGCGTGTACCCTGTCTACCTTTCTGTTACCAGACTTAATTTACTGTGACAACGTTGTCTTATTTCTCCCGCTCCTTGAAAGGGCGGCATGCAAGTTCAATTGCTGGCCAAAGCATCAATGATTTATTCCTTCAGATATAGTTTAGGTAAGACAATATTACCTTCAGCTCTGTTTTGAGCATGGACTGTAAAGGGACTGCTCGCCCTGAGCAGGAGTTGAATATCTGTAAAGGCGATAGAATAATTACAGATACCACAATGAAACTACATGGCCAATGCATTTACCAGAGTGCTTGCATTCCCTGTTTCAAAGCGGATGAAACATTAATAAACGCTATGTACAAATAGTCTTCTTTAGCCAGAGCATTTTAAGAACTATACATTGTAACCAAAAACCAGCCAGTGAAGAGCTCGGAAGGCAGTGTGTTCTAACGGACAGAGCATTGGTTAAACGTCCGAGACCTGGGTTCTAATCCTGACCGTGGAGAAATTATTTCACCTCTGTGTGTTCCTCTTCCCACCCTTTGTTTTGGGAGCTCTGTGGAGGTGGGGGCCGGGGCTGTTTTACTATGTACAGCGCCTTGTGCAATGGGGCCCTCGTCTTAGTTGGAGCATGGGGGATCTACTGTAATACAAATAATAAAGTAACAAATCAGCATGTTGCAGACAGCGTACGTAGGCCCCATTTTCCACTATGGCTAGTGGTCACTGGTTTTGGGTGTCCAACTGGAGACACCCTCGGGGCCTGATTTTCAGGGGGTAGGTGTCTTAAGCTTAATCAACCCGTCCCAAACCACTAATCGCTTTTGGAAAATCACACTGACTAAATCAATCACAGCCAAAGCTGGAGCCGGGACTGGAACCTGCTTGGAAAACATGGTCGTTCCAGTCTGAGCGAAAGGAAAATTGTAAATTGCATTTCTGGTGGAAGCACAACCCATTGGCTCTTGCCAGCTCTTGTTTATCTTTGGAATAAATACTATGGGCCAGATTCCACCCTGAGCTGTGTACACACAAGCCCCACTGAAATCAGCAATGTACAAGTGTTGGTACCAGAACATAAGAATGGCCAGCCTGGGTGTAACCAGGCTGGTTCTGGTGGGACCCAACGGAGAGTGCCAATTCAGGACAAATTGCTTCAAGCAGGGCAGTTACAGCCCCAGGATGGGGTTTTTCCACCTCTAAGGTAGGGTTACCATATTTGAACATTCAAAAAAGAGGACACTCCGGGGGGAGGGGGGGAGTATTTGCTCGCGCCCCCCACCCCAACCCTACCCCTTCCCTGCCCCCATTCCAACCCCTTCCCCAAAGTCCCCTCCCCAATTTTGCCCCCTCCCTGCCCCATTGGACCCCTTCCCCAAATCCCCACCCTGGCCCTGCCTCCTCACCGCAGTGCACCGTGTTCCCCCCCCCCCCCCCCCCCCCAGCCGCGCAAAACAGCTGTTTCATGGTGCAAGCGCTGGGGGAAAAAGCGGGCACTTTCTCAAATGATCAGCATTCACTCTCTTGAATAATCAACTCTTCTTTGTGGAAAAATAATAATGGCAAAATCCTGGACATTTTTAGATATTTAAAAATTCCTCCCGGATGGCGATTTAAGAACCAAAAAGCCGGACATGTCTGGGAAAATACGGACGTATGGTAACCCTACTCTAAGGCAAACCAAACCAGCCAGACAGAGACGACTTTGGTTTTACCCCCCTGGCTAACCACAAGTCACACAAGCAATTTCCTTAGATACTCCAGTTTTCCAGTATCACCATCAGTGCCACTCGTTATGGGGATGAATGGTTATGAAAACCAATACCCCAAGAAAAGCAAAAAGGTTCTCTCGATCCCAAAGGACCAAGCCCCAGACTCAGGTCAATATACAAATCAGATCTTACCCACAAATCACGCTGTTGCCAGTCCTTTAGAATCTAAAATCTAAAGGTTAATTCATAAAAGGGAAAAGATGCAGATGATAGCTAGATCTGGTTAAATGGAATCAGTTACATACAGTCATGGCAAAGTTCTTGGTTCAGGCTTGTAGCAGTGATGGAATAAACTGCAGGTTCAAATCAAGTCTCTGGAGAACATCCACAGCTGGGATGGGTCTTTCAGTCCTTTGTTCAGAGCTTCAGCGTAGCAAAGTTCCTCCAGAGGTATGAAGCAGGATTAAAGACAAGATGGAGATGAGGCATCAGCCTTTTATAAGTGTAAGAACACCTCTTTGTTCTTACTGTGGAAAATTACAGCAAAATGGAGTTTGGAGTCACATGGGCAAGTCCCTGAATAGTTTGCTGAGTCACAAGGCCTGTCTGCCTTCTCTCAATGGGTCAATTGTGTAGCTGATGGTCCTTAATGGGCCATCAGGCAGGCTAGGCAGAGCTGACACCAACTTGTCTGGGGTGTCACGCAGAAGCATAGTATAAGTTTGAAATACAGACAGTAGAGAGCCACTATTCATAACTTTAACTACAAAAATTATACACACATATAGACAGCATAATCATAACCAGCAAACCATAACCTTTTCCTAGACAACTTATTTGACTCCCCTTATACAAGCTTTGTTGCCACTACAGGAGCTTGGTTGAAACAATAATCTATGCGGTCCCAGATTATGTCAACATCATCACACTGGGTCAAACCAAAGGTCCATCTAGCCCAGTATCCTGTATTCCGACAGTGGCCAATGCCAGGTGCCCTAGAGGGAATGAACAGAACAGGTAATCATCAAGTGATCCATCCCGTCGCCCATTCCCAGCTTCTGGCAAACAGAGGCTAGGGACACCATTCCTGCCCATCCTGGCTAATAGTCATTGATGGACCTATCCTCCATGAATTTATCTAGTTTTTTTGAACCCTGTCATAGTCTTGGCCTTCACAACATCCCCTGGCAAGGAGTTCCACAGGTTGACTGTGCATTGTGTGAAAAAATACTTCCTTTTATTTGTTTTAAACCTGCTGCCTATTAATTTCATTGGGTGACCCCTCGTTCTTGTGGTATGAGAAGGAGTAAATTACACGTCCTTATTTACTTTCTCCACACCAGTCATGATTTTATAGACCTCTGTCATATCCCCCCTTAGTAGTCTCTTTTCCAAGCTGAAAAGTTCCAGTCTTACTAATCTCTCCTTATACGGAAGCTGTTCCATACCCTAATCATTTTTGTTGCCCTTTTCTGAATCTTTTCCAATTCCTATATATCTTTTTTGAGATGGGGCGACCACATCTGCACATAGCTCCAAGGTCAAAACACAGTATGTAGTATCTGGACCTGTTCTGCAGGACAGTTGACAGAAAGGAACAGATTCATACTCATAACTGTGCCCTCCAAATAGATAATAATTACCCCTTTGGACTCAAGTGAATAATCAATATTCTGGGTCTTGTGGGTTATTTCTGTTAGGAGGAGAAATTGATGTAGTCTGGTATGTCCATGATGCAATCCTGTTTATTTACAAGAATGTACAAAGTCCTATTCCCCTGAACACTGGGAATCAAACTGTCTCCAGCTGTTTGATTCCATTTGCTTATAGTCCCAAGCCTCTTTCCAGCCAGTACTGCGCCCACAAAGCTCTCTTGTTCTTTGCTTTTTCCTAGGTTCACACTACAAAGTGCTTCTGTCTGTCTGTCTCTGGGGCTTCCTTGCTGCCATCTGTATACGTCTGTGGTGTTTCTGCTCCTTCTCTCACACACAGATCTC